ATTTATGCGCTGTAAAAAAATCATTTTGATGAATTTCGAGAAAATAAAGTCATTTTCATTACTTACTAGTAATTACCTTTCTATGGTAAAAGTTTGAGGGAAAACTATTTTCTGACCCGAAATGCAGTGGGCCGCTTTTACAGAGACTGCCTCTTAATGCTCTTTAAATACCTTTTAGAGCATAGCCACGATACAACATGTGCTATGATTGGCTGGCTATTCATGAACAAAATGTGGATTAATTGTGGCGCGCGCGCAGGTTCAAGCGCTGGCGTCCAAAATCGTTTTCAACTGTTTCTTTATACGCTTTTTTAAACATAAATATACTGTCTTTCAGGACATGAAGCCTTTTAAAAATCATTTTGGATATTTTATTGTTGTAAATTTCGGATTTTTGGCTACATCATTTAAGATACGCGCACAAAATTATATCCAATAAGAAAAACAACTTACAGTGTTCACAGCTAAAGATGCTGGCTCACACATTGTCCCAACATAAGCAACACCAGCTGCACCAGGCCAAGCAATATGGCTCATAAAATGGGCATTATCATAGGTGATTTTCCCTTTAACTTCTTTGTGTAAGTATTCACCAAATAGCTTAAGATCTCCTACGTTGCGAGGAAAACGAGGTCCATTTGTCCATATCTCAATGGCAGACATGACAATGCGAATGTTTATCCTTTGGTAAATCTAAACGGAGAAACAAATAAGAAGTATTTCTTAAAAGACTACTAGTTCTTCCCATCCAAGGCACACTTCGGAAGTTAATGTACAGCATAGTTTAACTATCTAAAAATAGTGTCCTGATCAAGTGATCACTGATAATATAAGTTGATCATGAAAAGAGATTCCGAGAGAAGGAACTAAGAGTCAGTAATCTGAGCATTGCTCGGGTCCTTGCAAAGCTCGGAGTACTTTTCTCTTATTATTCAAACACAATACTTCTTCAGACTGATACAACTCACCGCATCCAAAACATTGCACAGAGTAACAACTCTTTCTACCACTGTTTTAGTACTATTCCCAAACCTCTGGTACTGATGATTTAAAACAAAATATATTAAGATTTCTATTATTTATAGGTCATATGAAGTTCCAGTATGTTTAAATTTGGAGAATTCTAAATCTTACGCATACTGAGATAAATTTGAAATCCTATCGTACCAACATCAAGTAATATCCCACTTACAATGCCGTCATCCACAAGAAAAAAGATCTCGTTGTATCGAGTCTCGTTTGTCGTTAGGTATGGTTTGTACTGGTCTTCTACATTGGCCACATTGCGACGTAACTGAAAGACATAACTTGATCAATTTATTGTTTTTATCGCCAAGTTCAAGTGATTTTCAGCAGTTGTGGTAGGACAGGGTTAGCCTAGGAAGGTGTAGTCATGGATAGCGTAGACTAGGGCATAGCAAGGCAAGACAGTGTAAGACATAGTAAGTAAATGCAGAGCATGGACAGACAGGACAGGTGGTAGCTAGTGTAGGATACGATAGGGTCCTCCTTAGTAAGCGACGCATTACATATACACGAGAAGAAAATATTGATTAATAGTTCAGTAATCCTTACCCTTGAAATCGGTTTTGTGACAAGGGATTCACCATTTCCGTACATTGCTTTGTTGTAGAAATCTAAAGAAAACATGATTGTCGGGTATAAAACACGAGGCGCAGCTGAGTTTGTTAAACAATTAAAAAACTCATGATGTATGTTCTCATATTGTAACGTATTCTTTTACRAAATGAACCAAGTTTGATAGAGAAAATCCAAGTTAAAGTTTATGCAAATGAAGACGAATCTATACTGTATCAGATATAAAACCTCCTTCATGGTCATGATTTCTTCATGAATTATTAATGACGATTTTAAAATTATGTTTATATCAACTGTAATACTAGAATAGAAGCAATAGTTCTCTTGGCTTGCGATGCGTTTATTTAATAAAATATGGCATTTAAACTCGCTCTATAATCTCACCTGGTTCTTCGGGAACGCCATATTCTTTTCTTCTTTTTGCTGGATATATTTTGTGTGCTCCTGTGTCCTGTATCACAAATTAACAAAACTAAATGGTGTATCAAGATTTTTGTTGGAAAGTCTCTGTATCTTTCTCTTTAGAAGTCACTACTTTCCTCCTTCCTTCTTTCTTTACGTTTTGTCCCCCACTATTTATGTGGGTGTGTGTGTGTGAGTGGTTAGGATAGCTGTATAGCACGAAAAATGTACTTTACCTCGTAGTTTGCATGGGGCTCTATGTGGTACGTTTCAACTCCATCGTCAATCACTCCACTGAAAGGAAAAACCCTATTAGCAGCCTTGTCTCCCATAACAAACTATCTTCGTGTTTCTTGTTTGATTTTAATTCCACTTACCTCAAGCCATTACAAGTAGTTAATGCCACAATAGATTGGGGAATACCTTTAATAGAGCCTTGGTAGTAACAATTATCTAGTGATTCCTTAAAGCAGATTAAAATACAAATCATTGAACTAAGTTATTTCCTTGAGAAAAGAACTCCACTAGATAGTGGAACAAACACGTTAAGATACTCGAGCAATGCTACACCCACCCTCTGCCACCAAAAATGTAAAATGTTTTAATTTCAATATGTTACTTAACGTATTTATTCCATTTTGATTGGTTACATTTCTGCATTGGTAAGACAAACCTGAGTAATGATCTCAGAATTATCAGCATCAAACTGACGCAGAAGCACCGTTTGTGGTGTAACTCGTCTGAGGGAAGAAGCACAAAATAACAAATACATTTAATGTAATCATTTTAAGCAAAAATTGAAATTAAAAAAAGTTTAAGTTGAAAATTAGTATAAAATTATGAAAGGGATTTTTGTTGTTGTTTGTTTTTTGTTTTGCAGAAACTTTTTGAAAATTAATTTGAAAATATCCGTTTAAAGGTAAAGTTCCTTATGATAGAAAAATAATATGATGATAGTCAGTAACATATAAGGYTTGTTTTGTCACTTAATGCTCAATACTTACTCGTTAATATTTGCATCAAGAATCCATTTGTTATTAAAAGCTTTAATTGCAAATTGAACAGAATGCTCATGTCCAACCTAAAAACAATTGCAATTGATAATAATTGGCAAATAAGAACCTAGATCACACGTCGTTATGTTAAGCTTACTGTCCGCAACCTTCACAGGATACTCAAAATACTTTAGTCTCCGCTAAAAAAATTTTATCCGCAACTCGTTACAGTAATGACATGTTAATAAACTGCACATAACTTTAAAGCTTTAGCTGCCGATAGAGGCTGCATTTTTTTCTCCCGCTGGCAATGCAATCTCGATTTTTCCGTTGCATTGCCAGCGCGAGACACAATTTCAGCGTGTATCATGCCCCGCGACTTTCACGGCAACGCAAAAATTGTTGCAGAAAATCGAAAAGTTTGAACTTTTCTCTGCAACATTTTCGGAATTGCACGCTTAAAAACAGCGAAAACTGAAAATTGCAGAGTCTATCACCCATTTTTACTCGCAATGCAATAATCCTATTCAGACTAGCCAATCAGGATTTAATAGTGATTTTTACTGGTTTTTACCTTTTTGATATGGTAGACGTTGCAATTTTTCGCTGCAACAAAAATGTGAAATTGCGTTGCCAGCGCGAGAAAAAATTGCAGCGTGTATCGGCAGCTTTATAAATCAAAGAAAACGTTAGCGATAATCCACGTTTTTCAACGCCTTAACTTTATCTTTGACGAATGTAGCAAGTTCGATCTCAAAACTGGGTACTCTTACTTAAAAGAAATTGAGTTCAAAAGTTTTGTATCGACACGATTTCTACACTAAATCAATCGGCACATTAAAAGGTTGGAGTACATTCGAAGGTTGACAGTAACCTTAATTGCTATTTCAATTGAACTCAGGCCATGGGAGAAATCCCTTTGTCCAAACCATGATGGCTACCACGTGAGAAAGCTCCAGTGTTCGTTCAGCTGTTCACTGGAATTAAAGGCCAAAATTGCTGGACGTGATTAGAAAAGTAACAAATCAAAATAAATTAGCCAAGCAACCTAAAAGGTTAGAGGTTAGTTTTTACCATATAACAAGGAGAACTGCTGAGTTAACACGACTGAGATAGTCGGGTCGCCACGTGTAGTTGGTGACCAGAGTTACACTAACAAGCGTGAAATAACACCTGTATAAGGATACAGATTTTATTGCAATAACCATTTACGTAAACATCTCTTCACCTGCGGACACTTGCATAATATCTCCGTCAAAAAAAAAAAAAAAAAAAAGTGGAAAGGTCAGCTATTACTTACATCGACAGCGGTTGAAAGATCTCTTCGATGACGCGTGCTGTGTAGACGTTCGGGATAAGTTATTTCATAATCCTGTACCCCTAAAAAATGAAAAGCTTGTTATTTTTCCATAGAAATAAATTTTAGTTAACGCTGAAAGATTTAAGGCAGATTCTTAACTGTACTTTCGGGACCAATAATGAAACATTCTAGATCTTTGTCCATGGCAAATAGAAACCCCAAAAATGTTGTTAAGATTCTAACATTAGAATAGTTGTTCATTTTTTTTCAAAACTGTAAACACAAACGACTCGGTACCTTTTCTAGCTTGCTACATACAAATAGTCTATAAAAAGCAACACTTTTAATAACAGAAGATTTATCAAACCTTGTAAGGTCCCACAAAAGAGGAAGTAAACGAGCAATCCAAATAGAACTCTCATCTTGACTATGTTCATGCAGTATTAAGAAGAATATCAGCTAACAAGCAGCTCAAAGACATTTTAAATTGATGGAAAGTCTAAAGAAATATCAGGAGTCAGCACTCTTTCCACTTACCGTCATCGAGTGTCCTGTTTGGACGAAAGTAGTTTTTTTTTCTCTTCTTATTCAAGGTCTTTTATGTTGTCAATCAGGGCTTTAATGGACTATAATGTGGCATCACTTTAACGTACTTGAAAAAGGAAACAGCAGGCAAACAATGGAGGATTTACTGTTAATTAACCGAGTTTTCTGTTCGGGTTTATTTTTTTCTTATGTAACTTAGATGAGAGCATACATACATATAGTCATTTTAGTGCTCGATACTTTAAAAGGGGTTTTCAGCAACAATGGCAGTATTAATGACAGCACTGCTTTGTCAATTACTTTGTAGTTAGCTTTACTTGTTCTTTGCACGTGCATGCCTTGTTTTCCCCCCTTAGTGTCCCCATTAAAGAACTCTTCAAAGTCTATTGTATATCGTATATGTATAAGCGTCAATTTGTGGTCGCCACAATGGTATCCTTGGGAACTACATCAAAGTTTTGTTCTCACCAAAAAAACTTTTTTAAAAATCTTAGTTGAATCTTTAGTGATTATTTGTTTAGCTTTGGACGTCCCATAAAGAGTAAAAGATGACCAAAGTTTAGTTTACGTTGTTCTAGTCAAACTCGAAGAAGCTCTGATTAAACTTTGTTAAGCCGACTTCACATTGTTATCAAACCTGGATTCGCACTAATTAAGAGTTTGATCTACGTGGACCAGACAATTATCCCCGAACTATTTATTTCGTCTGATCCGTCAGTTAAACCTGGATTAGCACTGATTAGGCTCTGGCCAACTAGGACTGTGGCGGATCCAGGGGTTGCTCCGTGGGTTCCATGGAACCCCCATAATGTGCTTTATGCTCAGTAGAATGAAATTGGAACCCCCTTTTATAAACTAATCCGACCGGCTTTTTCTGCGTGACGGCCTTCTGGAACCCCCCTTTTCAAAATCCTGGATCCGCCACTGTAGGACCAGACAATGAAGCAAGACCTTATATCAACGACATATAGGACAACCCGGACTACTGAATTTTGAACAAGACTTTTCAGTATTTTCAAATTAAAAAGAAAAAAGAAAAAGAAAAAGAAAAGAAAAGGAAAGGAAAAAAAGGAAAAATCCCAGTCATCCCAATGAATTCTGATGTCTCGTTTATATTCCTTGTTATTTTCTCGACTGAACTCTAATTAATGTTTTACTTCTTATATTTATTCCTTGCCAATTGCTCGATCTGTGAATTGGGAGTTATGGCAACCAGTTATACAGCGGTTGGATAAGTAAAATAAATAAGTGGCCCTCTTTTAACGTCTCTAGTTAATTAGGGACGGAACCGCCATTAGCGTGGTCATCCGAGTCACCTGAAAGTTAAATCATTTGCCAGTTTAAATAAAAGTTTTAAGCTATAAACGTGGTCTTAGCACTTGGCAAACCTTCATCAGAAGGGAAACCTTTTCAATCATGAAGATATCTAGGACTTTTGAAGTTAGTCAATGGGAATTTCACTAATATGAGACCAAAACGGTTTTTTAGCTATAGTGTAGAGATAAAGCAATCCATGCTTGCTTTTTCAGGACTATATGACACTTAAAGTGTAAGTTGATATATCAGAGTGTGAATGTTAAAAAATCTAAATATAATTTATCATTAAACTTAAAACTCAATGTTTAGCGTTCGGAGATTATTATGACTAAACAACAACAATAATGGCATAGACGACGACAACGACAAAAACTTAAAATATGTTACCAAGCTATATTTATAAAAGAAAGCATTTTTCCTTTCTTCTTTCATGCAGTAATACAACGCTCTAAGGTAGCACAAAAAAGGTATCAGAAACAACCATCCCGAGTGCGCTTAGCGACTTGGCCTTATTATAACGTTATATTATAATTAATGCCTAGGAAGAGAAACTGAAAACCCTTGGTTATCCAGGTCGTGGAACAGGTACAAGGTATTTCTGGAAAAGCATGGATCTCATGTGGTGAAGAAAGTATTGTCCGGTGCCAGCATCAACCAGTATGTATTCGCAAAGTCATCGGAAAAATATACCCAACGTGACTTTACGATCAAGGCATGTGTTTCTCTGGGTGGTTTAACAAATGCAGATAAAGTTGGGGTATCAGCATGTTCTGGAATCACCAAAGAGGAAGCAAAGAAAGCCTCCAGTACTTCTATGGTCAAGAAGCTAGTTGTCCGAGGTGGCACCCCGCGAAAACGCGAGCAGATTTAACGAATGAACGTAACAAAAAAACAATCTCTACATTCCTTCAAGAAGGAACAAGTGTTCCAACGCCTATTACCTATATATTCCAATATGGAATATTCTTAAGACAAGGTAATATTATTATTAACTATTGGAATTACTAGTTTCAGTAATTGCTGATGATTATTGAGCTCTTATTATTAAATTATTGATAGTATTAGCATGACATTTTAAACCTCCCAAGTCCCCAAATCGTTGAACTACTATGATACGGTGGCCGTCTCTGCCAAAATATAATGAAGATGACGGAAAGTATTTAACGGATTTCCTGTGCTTGTCTTTCTTTTATTGGTAAAGCTGATCGACGTGCCGTCTTAAATCATCTTTTGTTGTATTCTCTTTTTGTGATATTCCACCCCACTTCACTCCACTGCACTCCACTCCACTGCAATTCACTGCTCTGCACTGCACTGCACTTTACTGCACTCCAATGCAATCCGATCCAATGCAATCCACTCCATTCTACTGCACTGCACTGCACTCTACTTCACTGCACTGCAC